TCATAAAATAATAAATCCCAAAATTCCTATACTTCTAAAAATATTTACGTAATATGCCGCAATCAGAACTACTAAAGTACTATGTTAAATTAAAATTAGTAAATTACGCTTCCTTTGTAATTTTAGTCGGGTCGAATGCACGCTAGAATCGAATACTTTTATAATTTGTATTCGAATAGTCCCATCACTAACATCTACATTTAGATCTAATCCTTTACAACGTGACAAAAAATTCACAACATCTCAGATGCATCCGATGTGGATATTATTCAAACGCGGCATTTATTTCGAAATTCTAAAACTTTCGATGTTACGACACTGGGTCGTGCCACATGTCACAATTCAATTTCTTGCACATTTCTGAATACAGTATTCAAGAATTTGACCAATAATAATTTGGAAGCGACCAATTACATGCGCCGTATTAAACGTGGGAGGTAACATTTGCTGACAGGTAGATGTCCAGTCCATGTGGACCATTCAAATAAGCATACAGGGAGCGATCAACACAAATTTTATTATTTTATTTCAGTGTGTTATGCAGTAAATTAATCGTGCCTCGTATTTATCTACTATTTTTAAAGGTGATGTATCAGTCTCCTTAGTTTTTTTTTGTATGTTTGCCGGCTGGCTTTAAAGGTTTAAATCACACTATATCTTTTTCTCCAACTATACAAAAATGTTTCACTTGGCGCAGGATAGCAATTTCTTTCGCAGGGCAGTGAAACATTTTTGTACACCCTACGAAAACAAACTAAAAAGTAAAAAAAAAAAACACCAAATACAACCTTCTAATAACAAAACATAACATTTTATATCAAAAAATTAAAAAAAGTTTTGGACCAGGGCTTTCAAGGGCCGGTGTGCTTAAATGTTACACCTGGCGGTGAGAGTGTTAATTTAGATCCATGTTTGCATGATACATGATCAATAATTGCATTATAGCTATAAATCATAATTGTCATATATTATACAACTAGACAACTAAAAATTCTCTATTATAAGAGATGTATTGCATAAAACACCACGAGATCGCAGGTAGCGTGGTGTTTTTAAGGCAATACATCGGGTTTCGAGAATTTTTAATTGTCGAGTTGTATACAGATAGACTATATTGGGCATTCCAAACAAATGAACTGCCAGTGGAAAGATTTGGTATATCTAAGTGTTGCGACGAGCGATGTATTCTGTCTACAATACGTAAAATCATGAATAATGGAGAACATTTAAATATTTTGTCAAACAATAAAAATATTATTTAAGAAAAAATCGCTTATACATTTTTTCATAAATTGGCAGACTTGGCGAGTACTATTTCGAATAAAAAAGCGTCCAAGATGACTATGTAGCAACCCCCTTAGATTTACGAGCCCTTCCCACTGGAATCTATTGTTTGACAGATCGTTAGAATGCCTAATTGTTAAAACGAGCCATGGTGTAAAATTATAACAAAATAAATAACTGTCAAATTTTGAAATAGATATCTAGTCCCAACAAACAATAAATTACCGGGATATTGCTGGCCTTTTGCTGTAATTAAAGGGAAAATAAATGCGACGATTAAAAGATAAAAGGCTACTTTAGGCCTTTCGATAGTGGCCCAGCATTATGTTGATTGATGATGGCCTTGGCCTTATGAAGGGTAAGTAGCTGTATTGGGTACAAGCATGGTAAAAGTCAAAAGGCTTTTAACTGCCACAGACCCAACTCCAACAGTCAAGGAGGACTTCGCCCCGCGTTCATAGATGGAGACACCGATGATCGCTTGTTACATAGTCAACGAGTAGACATGTACTATGAGGCCAGTCTCGCATTGCTGGTATTCACTAATCAGTATTCATTGTAATTTTTTACTTTCATATATTAATTTAGAATATTTTATAATTAATTTTTTTGAAGAAGACATTTTTCTGAATTATGTATATATTATATAGCTGAATTAAATAAAATGTCTACAATAATCTATATTGAAATGCCTTCTGTTTTTGTATAGAATTTATAGTTCAAACAGTACTACTGGTCAAAGAGGCACTATCGAATATCCTGTCTGATCATGTGCCTGACACATGGCCTTTATTAATATGGTAAAAGGCCAGCAATTTCCCGTTAACTTCTTAGCAATAGGCCATTAATTGCCAATATATTTATTTCTAGACATTAAAGGGGAAATAAAGGCCCATTAATTGGTTATGATGGCAAAGTGACTTCGGCCCGACTGTCGGCCGTAGTAACCTATATATGCTGGCCTTTTAATTAAAAAAGTCAAATGGCCATCAATGTAATTAGAGGGTGACAGTTATTAGGCCTTTAATTTCCCTATACAAAATGTTTGTGACATAAGTGAATGTACAAACTCTTGTATATTCGATTATACAAGGGTTCGTATTTTCGATTTACGTCATAATACATAAATAACCGCTGTAATACATGATAATAATAACAACATATCGATCATTTTTATTGTTTCATATTTCAATGAGTGATATAGTCTCAGAAATGTTTAGTCTACCTATTTTATCGTTAGAAACATCCGTGAGTAATACGGTTAAAATGTCATTGGAGTTGTGTTACTTAAAACATTTGCAATAATTGAACGTAATTTTTCATAAAGTATGCAGAGTGAATAGTTATTTTATGCTGTGCTGTTCGTATTTGAAAATCGTAAATCTCTTTCAAAAAGTTACACCTGAGTAGCGTTTTGCTGTTTACACTTCAAGTTTTGACATTTAAGCTTTGCGAACGTCAAACATTAAAATACCTATGAACCTAAATATTATGTATTGAATATTAAAATGTCAACAAAATGCTGTTTGTTAATTATGTTTCGATTGGTTATAATTTTGGAATTGGCTTCAATATATTCTAATAGAGTGTGCTTTTGGGCCCTATCCAGTTGCTTTTAAACTAGCGCGTCCATGTTTAATGCTTGTTGAATTATAAAAATGTCAAAATGACATTCACACACTTACTTTGATTACTATACGGGGCAAGAGAGAGGTCCGACACGCCCAACATAGTGCGCGGCCATTTTGATTCCTATGACACAGTTTATATAGCTAAAGAATCAGATCGCTCACTCTGCGTCGGCACTTTTGATCTCAATGTTTCAGTTTATACACTGCGCAACTCAGATAATACAATATATGACAACCGCCTATAATAAAACAGCAGTCTTCTGCGTATCCTGAATGTGTATCCCTGGAGTGGATGTTATTTTGGATCTTTCAACTGGTCCGAGTGAGCTAACTGATTCTATAGCAATAAACTTGACTCATAAAATAATATTTACTGACACTGACAGCAGCAAGCAAAATATCAGGTGCGTTTTAATCATCCGCTTCTGCTTCCGGAATTGTCAGTTCAGTCGTTTAAATCTGTCAGATTAAAACAAGAAAACCGACAATTCCGAAGCAGAAGCGGATGATTAAAACGCACCTATAAAAAATATTGCGCCAAGATGTAGGCAACACGTAATAAGGGTTCAAAATGGCGGAGTTTTCTATCTCCTTTTAAAAGGCACTCAGAAAGCTGCGCAGTGCGACCATTCTCCGTATAGTAAAAGAAAATCAAAGTATGTGCATTCAAATCATAATCTTAGTTATTCAGCATTTACGATTTATAATTATGACAGCTTACAACAAAAATGAAAATTCACGAATTGCAAAATCGTGATCGAAGTTTGTTGAGAAGTTCGCTTAGCTCTTTTGTTGCTATGCGTTTTCGGCTAAAAGTTAGAGAATAATCCCCCTGGTTCCTGGCTAATGTAAGAAGTAGGAGGACCCAACTGATCGTGTCGCTTTTACTACCAAACCTAACCAATTAATCTTCTTCTTCTTCTTTTTCTATTCTTTATTGGATTTTAATTTGTGTAATTAGGTTAATTAGCATTAGTATTGGCAGTTTAGCCATCCCAAATCAAGGACATTCATCTTTTTAGGTCCTGAGGTTTTATCTGTCTCTCTTAGCTCTTTCTCTTTCTTTTTTTGAGGTTGGTTTTTGGGCCATGTGGTCTTTGAATTAAATCGACTAATTTCGGATTTTATATTACCTAAAATAGATAAGTTCCATCAAGCAATTTAATTATACCATATAAGTATTGTGACTAGAAAAATCAAGAGTTGATTTTATTACACATTTTGTGGATTTGTCGATACTTATAGGTATAAAACAGGGCCCTATCTTATTTGGTAAGTCATCCAAATATAACCTTGCAGATAATATGATGTCTATGAGCTATAGCTAGTTTTATTTCTCTGTTTTTCCTACTTTTTTCCTTTATAATTTGAATAATTATTGCTTTGCTTATTATTGCTACGACCTAGTACTGCTTGCAGCTACCTGCTTGGCAATTTTCTTAGGACCTGATACCATTAAAGCTGTTAGTTACTCTTGATACAGCGAGGGTTGCAAACACAGGATTTTCCCATCGAATCACTTTGTAGACATCATCGATAAAAACCACCAAGTAAGATCTAATCATTTAAATAATTAGCAGCATTTTTCAGTATACCACATACGCACGCGCACACACACACGCACACGCATGAACGCACGCACACGCACAGGCGCGGTCAGTCACACAGACATCATCGCGAAAATAGATAATACGGATTCAGGAGACCCCAAAACGTAAAAATAATCGGTCGAAAAAAATTATAATTGCTTTTGGGTACAGACAGGAAAGTCAAAAGTAGCCAAAAATTTATAATCAATTCTTTAATTCTTGTTTTACATTTTACGTATCTTTTACAATTAAAATAATAACCGATATTCTTTCAAATTAATTCACCAATTTTTCACGTTTACTAAAGAATTTATGAAGTACCTAACTCGTATTATACGATTACATACATCCATTTTTTTTACTGTCATTTCTTTCGTTTAGAAATAATGAGCCGTACTATCGATGAGCAATTATAATGTATGTAAGAAAGATTTGCATCTGCATCTGCGAGGGTCTTTAAAGTAATTCCTCTTTGTTTTGCAACTTGTATAAATGCCATTGTACTTGTCTGCGGGCGCAGTGTCGTTGTGATTAACTTTGCTGTAATATGAAGACATTGGTGAGTGCTTTCCTCATTTCAGTTTTTACCTAGTAATTAGTTTGCAAAAATGACGAGCTGTTTTAAAAGCGTTTAAAGTATGTTATATGACGGAATTTATTATATTTGCGTTTCGAAAAGGCAATGTCATAATTGGGATTTTATTTTTTTCGATTAAAACAATACTTAGTAATAGTATTAGTGATATAATATTATTTTTTATTTTACACCAGTGGTTTTTAATTAATCAGAACCTTTTTTCTTGTTTCGTTACCATGGCAAATCAAAAAAATACAGGAAAATTTTTATATTTTATTATCGGAAAAAATATACGATTTTGATAATCTGATTTACACTAAACAACATCCTCTGGTACTTGACACTTTTTCCACTTTTTTTTTATTACTTATACAGGATGGGCCACCGGTAACGCCTCGGTCAAAACTTTTAATTGTTTTTTTTTAATCTGATTTCATAGCGCAAAAATAATTTCAATAACAACGCACCGGAATGTTCAATTTTATTTACGTCGAAACAATAATTAATGGTGTTTATTTTAACAAGAAAACTATTATTTATCCTTTTAATTAGAAGAAAATTGTGATTGAAAAACCATTTTTGATAAAATTTCCCGCCAGAATTCACCTTATACAATTACTACACATTGTTACAAAGTTGCCAAATATTTTTAAATAATTTGTGTTTTCTTCTCGTAATGCGTAAATTACTTCAGTGATTTTTATTTTTGTTTAAACTATCAAGTCTTATTTATTAAGGACGTTTTTAAATTAGCTGAATCTGATTTCACAAATCTAGGATTCATGTTAATACTTACAAACGATTCAGAAATATAAATATAATAAAGAATTGTATGAATTAATTTTAGTTTCAAACTGAATATGAAGTTTCTGACATTTGCTTTATTAGGGAATATAATTAGGCATTCCAAACAAAATGGCTACCAGTGGGTTTTAACAGGTTATGATATGCCAAAATTATGGCGACTCTGTAGGCCTGGTGATTTGACAGGGTCAATGACATAGATAGTTGTATAGATTGATCATCCATGTTTTTTAAAATAAACATAAGCCTTGAAGTAAAAATGTAGGTAATTATTTTTTTTACTATATTCAAAGACTGAAAATTGGTTTGTAAACATATAACTATATTGACCCTGTCAATAACAGTAGGCCCACAGGGTTGCCATATCTAAACTGTCAGTTCCCACTTGTCAGCATTTTGACAGGTCGTTGGAATGCCTAATTATGTTGCAATTATATTAAATGTGCGGGGTAGCGTCTACATGCAATCAAGCGGTTAGGTTTGTAACCAACTGTACTGCCTGTCGAAGTAAAGAAAACTTGAATTTGTATTATAGGTAATATTATTTACTTAATAGACACATCGACAACTACAAACTATTTTAAAATATAGCATCTGTAAATTTTAGTCGACGCTACCTTTTTTATTTTGTTGCCACACCATTTAATGCATTGTCCAGAATCGTTAAAAAAAGAACATACACTTAATTATTTTTCTATTTCACTCTTTACAATACACACAGAGATGGGACCAATAAGGAAATAAAAGTAGACATTTGGCAACAATATTTAAATTTTCTTAATTTATTGATACACGTAAACGTTACATAGGGGGCATAAAATGTTCAACTTTAACAATTATTTCTTCGGCTTCCAGTGATATCTGAACGCAAAATTTTGCTAAAGTACTTTTTAAGTGGTAAAGTTTAAAATGGAGTAATAAGAAAATTTTACTGTTATAGTTCATTATAGTGGGTTCTAGAGGAAAGTGATACAAATCAAAGTCAGGTATTTTAAATGGGACACTCTATATTTTATTTTAAAATTTGAATTGCCATCGCTTTACCCATTATATAACAAAATAGTATGGGAATATACACGTTACAACCAGTTTTATATGAAAATCGTATTGAATTCAATGACCTGTATGCTGCAGAAGAAACAATTGAAAATCAATTTTTTATGGTAAAAGATTTTCGATGTTAGTCAATATTTATGCCAACAGACTATTTTTTTTTAAATCGAAACAAATCTGTACCGGGTGATTTAAAACTCTAATTTTCTCTTTTTTAAATGACCACCCTGTATTTTATGTCACCATTCAAAAGTGTCACAATTATACTTTCATTTACCTGTTCCTAAAGTTAATAAGTTTGGGAATTTTTTTAATTTAAATGTCATTTTTATATTTTATAAAATATATCTGTCATTTACGTTTAAAGATTCTTTAAATAAAAGTTACTTCTTATATTATTATCTATAATTTTTGTCTCATACATAATTTCTCTAAAATGGACCGTATTCGAGATATTTGAGAAAAAGTGTAAATTTCAAATTTTAAAGAAAACTCAAAAACGGATAATTAAAACGCATTACATTTTAAACTTAAGCTTTATTCCGGCCTGAGGTGAAATGATTAGATTTTGGGCAGAGTCGGAACATCTGGGGGGTACTTTATAGAGGGTCGTGTTTATATTTTATGGAAAATATTAGTTATTTTTGTTTGAAGAAGAAAATTGTTCATATAAAAGTTACTTCTTATATTATTCTCCATAATTTTTGTTTTATAAAAAATTTTCCTAAAATGGTCTGTATTCACATTTTTTAAAAAATTGTTCAAATAAAACTTATTTAAAATATAATTCTCTATAATTCTTGTTCTATACATAATTTCTCTAAAATGGACCGTATTCGAGAAATTTGTGAAATAATATTATTATTCAAAAGTGTATAATGTTGAACATATTACACGAGAATTGTTTAGAACACGAGCGAGCATAGCGAGGGAGTGTTGTAAATATTCGAGTGTAGTATGGTCCATTATACACGAATTAAATACTATACTTTATCTACAACTGAATACGGGGGCTCACCGAAAACGAAAAGGGGATTTTTAGAAAAAAATCTTTGAAGTTATAAATAGAATTGACAAGATTGTTCACAATTAAAAGACCTTTCAAATGAGGAGTATTTAAGCCACCGTGTGAAATAAAACGCCAATTTATACAGGAACTCGTTTAAAGTTATTTATTGATGTAATGAATAGTAACATTACAATTTGAAATATTAATAGCTCCGGTAATATCATTGAGATTATTGTTTTTTAAAGAAAAATTAGTGTTGCTATTGATGACTACAGAATCATGACGATCACTGTCAGAAGATGATGGATTATTAAGACCAACACAATTTTCATTATTGATTTGACTTAAAATTGCTTGAGCTGTTTCTATTTTGTTCTTTTTTGAATTGGCGATGTACCCTTCTGCTGTGGAGGCGGATTTCCAGCTTCCGTGACGTTTTAATGTTGTCATTGAAGCTCCAGAATCAGCAACCAATGCTGCAGATGAACGCCTGAGGCTTTGGCCAGTATATCTCTCAGGGTTTGGTAATTGTAAAAACGTAGCAATTTGCTTTCCCATTGCGCTAAACTTGTTTATTCCTATCACTTGTTTTGTACACTTTCCTTTTTGGAAATTGAGAAAAAAATCTTGTGGTGCATTTTCGGGCCGGAGGTCTATATATTTTTTAACGATTTTAAAAAAATTATCCACAATTGTGAAATTCCTTGGGACTTTGGTTTTTGTGTGTGGCACGTTTACTTGAAAACATCCCTCAAAACATCTTAAATCCCCAATTTTTATATTCTTTAATTCACAGGATCGGCAAGCACCCATGACCCCCATGATCTAGGCAACCTTAAAAAATGTGTAGATTAAGTTAAAGAATTTTGATTTTCGATTCGAGTTTTTACCATTGTTCCAAGATATTTAAAATCTGGGGCTTCCTTTATAAACCTCTCAATTTGTTCACCAGTCAGAGCTTCAGATTTCTTAGGTTCGTAATTTTCGGATCGTCTTTTCAACAAAGCACGTAATCTCGGATATTTATCAATGTCGACATTGTGCTTGATGTTTAACATGCTTTTTAGCATGGAATAGTTTATCCATAAAGTAGACGATTTGTATTTACTAGAAATTTCCACAGTGTCTTCGGAAAAAAAGGATACATTTTTTTTGTTTGTTTCCACGACATAAATTTGTTGTATGCAATCTCATAATTTTTCCTCGATATTTTAGGTAATGATTCCAACGACGCCACTTTAGCAGCCTCGCGGATTTCAGCAGGTGTTAGTTCCATGTAATCATCGTCTTCCATTTTTTTAATTGATAAACACTTAAAACGGGCTTAATATTTTAAGTTTAATTTCAAAAAAGAATCGGGAATAACGAATAACTGTCAACATGCTGTCAACTAACTTGTCAAACGCATACTAGATCTAATGATTTTTAATTCTAGTGGGGTATAATTGACAAAAATCGTGTAATATGAATATATTCTCACTAGTGATATATGGATTGCTTTATGTTGCCTTAGATACGCATATAATACATCCATATAATGACAGTTGTAGATAAAATTCTTTAAATAAAAGTTAATTCTTATATTATTTTTTATAATTTTTGTTCTATACAAAATTTTCCTAAAATGATCCGTATTCGAGAAATTTTTCAAAAAATGTAAAAAATTCTGATTTTTAAGAAAATTGTTGAACTAAAAAATGTTTGCGATATAATTTTTGAATTTTGCATGATTCCTCTAAAATGGACCGTAATGGAAAAAGTATAAAATTTAAATTTTTCAGCATGTTCGTTGGCAATGAGTGTATATAGAAAAATGTTTCGAGTTAGATGTATGTGGAAAATGTATATATTAAGTTAACCTCTAAATATTTACAGATGTGCTACAATAAGTTGTACAATATAACCGAAAAAAGCCTGTAATAACTAGATAGGAAAGTCATGTGTTGGACACATCAGATTTTTCTTTTTGATTTCTATTCTAGTGTTTTGTAAATTTTATATTTCTTGCTCCGTCTTTCAGTTCCTTTTTTAAAATCTATAAACAAAAAAATATAATTTTTTTAAATACAAAAAACTTGCCAAGGTTTTCTTAAAGCAAATTTTCCAAAACACCATC